CAGGAATTTCATATAAATCCTTAGCTGCTGAAATATCATTTTCTAATGCTTCAAAGCCTGCTATAAGGTGAGTCACATAATCGCTAAAATAATTTGATCTTTCAGCACCACCTTCTTGTAATAAATTTAAAACCTAAACAACATATATTAATAATTTAAAATTAATAAAATGCTTAAATCACAAAATTGTATTATATAATATATAACATAATATATATAATAAAAATATATATCTGCATAATGACTTTTTTATACAAATGGATAAAACATGATATAAATTATAAATTGAACAGAAAATGGATTAAAAATAATTTCAGAATTCTTTGTTTAATGAGAATGAGTAAAATATTAAAATTAATATTTTAGAGACTAAAATTAAAGTTCAAGTATTAATTGAAATAAATAAAGCAAGATTAAATACAGTAAAATTCAGAAAATTTTAATCTTAAATGAAATTATGTTATGTATGAAAATTATATACTTTGGGATCACCCTCTCCACTGACATAGTACTTCACTTTCGCAAAAAGTGTTCCATCCAGTTTTAATTCTTCAAGACCGGCCCGAATATCTCCCATTTTAATTAATAAGTAGTGATATTTTAGCGTACCATAAACAAAAGTAAAAAATCAGGAACTGTCTTCGTACAGTATATATACACAAATTGTTATAATACCACAATTGCTTCGCTATTAAATGGAACAAGGGCCCGCCGATAGTTTAGATTATGCAAAACTAAACATTAACATGTTCCGACTCATTACATATTCAATACTTAGCTTTATATTATTTAGTAAAAAAAAAAAATTAAATGCATGGTTTTTCAATTTAAATTAAAAATATAAATATTATATCGAATTATAAAATTCTTTGATTGATTTTACAGATAAACATTGCTCCATACTAAATTTAATTTGCTCTAACATACAAATTCGATAATAATAAAATTGTTATTTATAATTAATAAGAATCGATTTTAACCGAAAAAAATTAAATGTTTATACTGCGCAAGCGTAAGAAGGATTATGATGTTAAATCTTACTTTATTTTGTTTGTGCTTAAAAATTAAAGATTTATAAAATCATTTTTATGCAATTAATTAAAGGAAAATAGCCAATAAGTATTAACCAACAAAAAATTAATCATATTTATCTAAATTTAAAAATTGGAAATCTTTGCTTCGGTAGTATACGATTTCCTTTATTAATAAAACAAGTCATATTTACGTTTTCTTAAATTATTACCCACGAGGTAATGTTATCCTTGTAACGAATGGAGAGCGCTTTGCCAAATTACATCACACTTGATATTAAGATGTACATCCATCCATTTTTAATATTTTTAACTGTTACCGCATATTCAATTCTGTAATTGAAAGATATTGGAATAAAAAAATCATCGTAATATGTCTAGATAAATTATATAATTTCTCTTGTGTTATAACTAAAATTTATTATACACAATTACTATTTATTAGTTGTTAATTAATTATCATTGTATAAATCATTTATTATAAGCTATATATATTATCCTTTTTCATTTTCATGCACAAAATATCTGCTTTTTTAATTTTATTTTAATTAACCAATGTCATATATGCTTCATTTGAACTCGCATAGTATGTAGTAGTAAGCATTTATTACATCAAAATTTAAATACTTATTCCTGGAATAGCCATTGTTTTTTTGTAGTTCACAAAAGTCATAGTATATTCACACAGGAAAATGTTTTGAAATTAACAATATAGTATTTTATTCTTTTTTTTTTACAATCAAATGTTGATCGAGTTTTAATTTGCCTAAGTTATAATTCATATCTTTCTTTATTAATATTTTACCAGAGTTACTACATATTACATAAATGCAAAATTAATTAATCTCTAAAAATCCGAATAGTCTACAAATCATTCAGGCCTTCAGAAGATTACAGCATTACATTTTATTGCCATAGTTAACATCATCAAAATCCAAAACATTCTGAGCCATATATGTAAAAACACAAGGAAATGAATAAATATTTGAATTTGATATATTTTTTAATTGAAACTATTTTATAATAGGTAAAACAATTATTATATAATAATTGCTTGTGTACGAAATGTAATATTATCACCATATTTTTATATTTGTTTCACAAGGGCCCCAAACATATTTTGTCGTTTACTTGGCAACAATTTTCAGTTACTTAAATATTTGAAAATTGTTAAATTGTAATATAAATAAATTTTTCCGATTTTTAGAATCTAATTATATTAAGCTTGGAATAATTTTTTTTATCTATCCATTGAAAAAAAGTAAATAATTTTATTCATATATTCAGTTTTTATTCAAAAAATGTTTTCTTTACTTTTCTCGATTTAAATAATTATTCTATATTTATATACTTAATTTTATAATTGTATCAGGTAAACCACATATTACAATTAGAATGATATGCATGAAATATCTGTGAATTCATTATAAATAATGAATGGATAATTTATTACTAAATAATGAACTTTGTGCATTATTTTTGTTAATTTTTTAAGTATAAGTAGTCTAAATTACAGTTATAAAAAACTTGATTAATATCAATACATGAGTATTGAATTAAATTTAATCTACAGTCATCTTTAAGTTGAAAGTAATTTAATTATATTTCATTCAAATATTTACATTTGATATTTATATGAAACAGCTCTTTCTTTTCATTACTTTCATTTAGCATTAACGTCCCAAATCATATCAAAAGTATAATTTTTATATAATTAAAATTTGACAATTAGATTATGAAGAAAAGTTATTGTTTCTACAGTTAGCGAATTACATAAATTATTTTACGAATCAGTAAATCACTAAACATTAGTGTTCTACCTTTTATTCATCTGAACATTAGAATTTTAATTAAAAAAGTTTTATCTTCATTTATTTTATAAATTCCCGCGATTCGTTAAAGATGTTTGTTTGAATATTCTATTTAATAGATTCCTAACCTAATAAAAAGACACCATATGCATGTGTAAAATAAAAGTTAAATAAAAGTTAGTAAAATAACAAATAGACTAATATCTGGCCTTAACTCCAACAGTCGTAAATGTCATTTTACTAAATAGTATTAATTTAATGTCATTATTATTATCTCCCGTGCCTTTTTGTATTGCTTTTCATGGAATAAAATTTTTTTTATATGATAAATTAATAAAAAATATTAAACGAATGTGTTTAAAAGATGTCTGCTGTTATTGATGATAAAGTTGTCGCTGGGGCACAAGATTCTAATATTGTAAAGGAAGATCCGATTGTTATATTAACAGTATGTAGTTTTATTTACATTATTATTAGAAAAATATAAATATTTTTTATTATTGTAATTTTTATTATAGGATAAAGTAAAGTCACTTTATTTCTTTAGAGATCATTATTTTGAAAATCATTCCATACAAAGTGCAATTAATAAGAAAAGAGATGTTGAAAAAGAAATGAAAAATACTTTAGCTAAATTTGATGAATGTAAAGGATATGAGATTGATGGATCTAGAGCAAAATATTATTATCTTAAAGGAAAAGCTTTTAACGTGACTGATAAATTTATGCCTCAAGCAGAAGAACTTTTGAGTAAAGCTGTTAAACTTGAACCAAAATTAATAGAAGCATGGAACGAACTTGGAGAATGTTATTGGAAAAATGATGATATTCAACAAGCAAAAAATTGTTTTGTTGGTGCTTTACCACATGTAAATTTAATTTCTATTTCAATGAAAGTAATACTTCAAAAATTATATTCAAATGAAAAACTCTACTTTATAGGGAAAAAATAAAGTGTCATTACGTAATTTATCAATGGTTCTTAGACAAGAAATTACAGTATCCGAAGAACAAAAAATAAAAAATGTTCAACAAGGTATTGAATATGCAAAAAAAGCTATAAGTTTAGATCCTTCTGATGGTACCTCTTGGGCAATTTTAGGCAATGCATATTTATCATCCTTTTTTACAATAGCACAAAATCCTTCTACTTTACGTCTTTGTATGTCAGCTTATAAGCAGGCTGTCAGTCTTAATTCATTTTTTACAATATTAACACATATATACGTTTTCTCAATTAAGTTTATTTTGTATTATAGGAAAAAGATTCAATTGCTAAAAATAATCCTGATTTACATTATAATAAAGCCATGGTATGAAATTTCTTATAATTATGTTGTATGTCAATTATATTTTATTCATATTTAATTATTATAGAGAATATTATATATATATATATATATATAAACATACATACAAAAAATGTATTATTAATAGGCTTTAAAATATCAAGAAGAATATAAATCAGCTTTAGAATCATTATGTCAAGCAACATTATTAGATCCTACATGGGAATCACCAAATGAAAAACAATGCGAATTAATTAAATATCTTAATAATGTTCAAATGTTTATTAATTCAAAAGGCAGTATTAAACCTAAAAAGTTACTTCAAATGATTCAAGTATATTTGATTTTAATAATAAAAATAAAAAATTGCAAATTTAGTTATTATATACACATTTCAAATATTTCAGGCTTTGAATGCAAAACATTTAGGCCTTTATAAAGAAGAATATACTTCAGGAAACAATTCTATAAAATTAGAATTAATTCATTTAAACGATTTAATACCTGGTATTAATTCCGAAAAAATAGTGGTTGGTAAAGTTGTATGTTGGATTCAAGACTCTGATTCAGTTCCTTTGTAAGTACATTTTATAAATAAATATTAGATAATCTCAATGTCTCAGTAATTTTGTTTAACAAATTATAGCGTATTTTGTATTGTTGATGAAGAGAAAACGTGTATGGCAGTAACTTTATATAATTTAGCAAAAGGCAAAGGCGTTATCATTGGAGATTCTGTCGCTATACCGGAACCATATCTGATTCATCATCAATTTTTTTATTTAAATAATGTAATTCCAAAAAATTGTATATGGAACTTTATTCTTGATTAACATTTAATTTAAATTTTTAGAAATTTAATTTTAAATCAATACGAGTTGAAACACCAGTTCTTTTAGTTGTAAATGGAAGGAAGTTAGGACGAGATCAACAAGCTAATGTAAAAATATCCAGTTTTAAAAAAAGTGATTGAAGCAAAATATGTACAATTTTCTATTATAATGATTGGTGGCATTTTTTATGAAGTGATAAATATACGAATTCTGAGAAAAAAATCAAAAGTCAATTTTTACCTTTATATTCAATTTATATTTTAATTTATATTCATACTATAATGTAGCTTTGGTTTCAGAGGATATTTATATAATATTTGTTTCTCAATTATCTTTATTATCACTGTACAAACTTAGCATTAATTCTTTAGTTATCATTTTGATGTGTGTCAATTACTCAAATGACTTAAAATTTTTATATTTTTATAATACTTAGATTTATGTATTTATTTAAGAGATCTAATTTCATTAAAATAATATATGTTTTATTTGAAGTTTTGCAGAGAATATTAATTCGCTTATTTTATTAAATTTTAATATACATAAATATTATGAAATAAATAAATAAATACATAAATAAATATATTATGAAACTTTCATCTGCCAATATCAATTCCCAATTATTAATGTCAATGAAATTTCGTTATTTTGTTTAAAAACTTTATTTATTATTTTCTTAATTTTTTATTATATATAATTTATTATATATAATTAATTTCTTAATTTTCTTAATCTTTGATTTTATAATGAATATATTTAATGTGGTGGAAATTAATTAAAATTTTAATAAAATGTCTACCAAATTATTAATTTTTAAATAATTACATATTTGATTAAATAATTGCTTAATTTTATTCAAAAATTATATCTACAAATTTGTAGAAAATAAAATTAATAAGATACCTTTAATGGATTAGTTTTTAATGTTTTAAAATTAAAAACAGATTAAAAAAAAAAAATATTAATTTATCTATTTTAATTAAATTATTATAAATTATTAATATAATACTATTAATTATATTAAATAAAATTGGAGGATTTTTTCATTGTCACAGAATATTCATAATTATTTTATAATTCTATAATTTGCAGTACATAAAATAAGAACAAATAAATCTTATTAATAAATATTTATATATTATGGTTATATATATTAATATAAAAATTTAAATATTAAAATACTGAAATTGTTTAGCAATCTTAAAATTTATTTAATATTCAAATACATTTATTTAGTATTGATTAAAAATAATTTAAAAGTTATTATTATTTATTATTGTTTTATGTTTTTCATTTAACTTTCTGATATTTTTAACAAATTAGCATAGTTTTATTCGTACATACAGAATTTTATGTCAAGCATAAGGTTTATTTATTATGAACGAATTATGATAACAAATTTATCAATACTTAATATTATTTACTTCACAATATAGTTTTCTATAATGAAAAAGCCAATAGTAAAGGAACAGATATCGAAAAATGTTTAATTGTAAAGATGTACATTGTATATAAAAATATTGCATATTTTATATTAAAAACTCGTATAAAACATCTACTAACGATTATACAATAAATACTTATTTATAACTATAACAGTACAATACATTTTCATAATAACATCATTTCATATCCACGATGACAGCTTTCTTGTTTATGTAAGAATTATTATGTATAAGTATTCAGTCTCTCCTAGAGTGAGTCGAGTGAGTCAAAAATTATATATATTTCGTTTACGAGTTTACACTATCAAAGATAGTTCGGAGAAATTGCGTATTTATGCATTCTCTACTGTATTTAAATTAAGAATTCGTGAATTAATCAGATATTATAATCACATGTTAACCTCCCACAGTTTAAAATAATTATCGACAACTTCCTGGAACCATTCACGTCGTTTAATTTCTTTAAAAAGCGGTGCTAGAGTACGTAAGTGCAATTGCAGTAATGCTTCGTTCTTAAGGAGTGAGTCAAGTTGCCGCAAGAGGGCAGCATCACCGTGAAGTTTTAAGAGGCTGGCATAAGTAAATATGTAATATTGAATACGAAGTTGTTCTACCGCCCAGGATTCGACAGATCGATTGCCAGAAGCTGATTGTATAGCACCCATATGTTCTGCGTACCATGGTGAGAAGTAATTGCTTAGCTCAAGAGTTGTTAAATCAGCTACACCACGACTTTTTAGACGTTCTTTTATGCGAAGGTAGATTTGGGGTTTGTACACGAACACCTACGAATGATGGTCAATTATTTTTTATTATTTATTTTTATGAAATTCTTTTTTGTATTTGATTATATTAATACAATATTTAAAATTAATATTACATATATGTTAAATTGCAGTTTAATATAATCAGTAATCTGTTGTGCCTGTAAATTCAATTAACTATTGTATATTATAAAATACGATAATAATAAAGAACTTCTTTATATTGTAAACACATAATAATTATTAAATAATAAAACAGAAAATAAAAATGATACATAAAAACAATTATTATAGACAAAATTTTAATTATTGAAGTATTCAATAATTGATTCAATTCAAAAATCAATAATTGAAGTATTCAAATTATTTTATAATTCATTAAAATATTTACACATTTTAGTTTCTCCGCGAGAACTATTCAATACAATGTAAAAAATTAATCGAAATAATTTTATGTTTAATTTGTTAGAAACATAATAAATATTTGTAAATAGTTAAAACGTATTATTTATTTTCAATTTGCAATGATTATTATAAAATTTGCATATTTTATTCAGAATATATATATATATATATACATTTTAGTCTGTACGTGTATATATTATTATGCTTTATTTATTTACTTCTAAATAATCGTTATTAATTTATAATCAACGTCTATTAAAAATAAGATCACTATTTATGAATAGTGCAATTAATAATCAATATAAGGTCAATCATTATACATGTACATATGTGTGAAAATAAATGGATTCAAATAATATAAAATTGTTTATAATTGGAAGTTTTATTTAATATCTAAATTACGAAACATCTGTACGTCATTATTTTAGTTCATATTGCTTTATTATAAGATAGATGAATTTTTATTAAAAATGACCTAATTACTAATATATATTGAAATAATATAATTAAAGAAATTAATGTAGTAACGATAATACTATTATTACTTAATTTATTTATATGAAAATAACTAAAATATTCAATCTAATAATTACAAGTATATTTATCTGTTTCATTTCAACATACATTAATACTACTGATAAATTAATTAATATAATGAAATATTCAAAATATTGATAAATAATGATAATCTTAAATAATATTAAAAGGCATTTAATTTTTAAAGTATTCATTTTTAAAATATTTAAGACTGAACTATTATGTAACATCTTCGTCGCCTACTTAAAAGCCATGTTGCAAACTATCAATAAAAGTCAAGTGTACTGAACAAAGAAATTATCATTTAAATTATGTAAATTGTGTTTTTAAATATTTTTTGTTGTTTGTACTTCTTCACACCAAGGGTAATACTGCAAAATTACTAAAATTAATAATTAATCTTAATTATTCATCATAAATAAATAAAAATTAATATGATTGTACTGAATATATTTTCAAAATTATTAGAATAAGTACAGAGAGAATTTTAAAAAATTAGTAAACATTATTATCCAATTTAATTATCGTCTATAGTAAAGTAACCGACTTACATATAGTCAACTAATTTTTTTAAAAATATATACATTATAAATTCAGTTTAATAAAAGCATTTTTAATATAAAAAAAAACTTTTTAATATAATATAATTAAACTTTGTAATATTTTAAAAGTGTGTAATCGTTCAAATACTTTTACCTCTACCAAATATTATTAAAATGAATTATTATCAATAAAAATTAATATAAATAATTTCGATTACATGAATAAAATATATTTTATTTTAATTAAAACAATTACTATCCATCGATCCTCATTTTTCTACATAAATATAATTAACTTATTTTCAGAAAATGTCTATATTACATTCCAAGTTTCATTAAAATTATTCATCTCTTATATTTTTTATTTTATATATAATATATAAAATGTAAAATTATCTATAACTACGTATAAAATATTTATGAATATAGAAAATAGCAAAGTAATATAAAAACTAAGAGATTATTTATGTAAATATTGTAATGAACAAAGTGTGTATATATTTTGTTGAATATATTAAATATATTTTCAACATATTTAAATTTATTTTTAAAAGACATACTTTATATAAATTATTAATAAGATAGACATTATTGTTAATATATAAGTAGCTAATTTAAAATTAATTTAGACATAATCAATTATTTTTAAAGATAATTTTATTTTTAATAAAATTATATTAGATAAAAAATAATATTAGATATACATTTATATCTCAAAAAGAAACTCATTAAAATAAGTAAATATCTGCATTATTATTTTAATTTGGAATAATTTTCTATCTATAAATTACTTATTAATATATTTAAATTAATTACTAAAACCTGGACAAAAATGTTATAAAAAAACGAATTTTCTTTCATTGCTTGATTTATACAAATAAAAGATTGAATAAATATTTAATTAAATATTATATAATATTAGGAGAATAATAATTCTAAAATATTTTAAATACTCAAAATGTATAATATATTAAATTTTTTAGCCTAAATTACTAATAAAATTATTATTCAGTTTCAAAAAAAAAAGAATCTTTATGAATAAATAATTTTTATTATTGTATATAAAATTTTCATAATAATTTTAAAATAATTCAATTTTTATATTAGTGGCTCTGTTAAAAATAAATATATTTATTTAATGGAAATATCTTTTAGCTAAATATAAAATAATCTATTAAAATATTAAATTAATATTAGGTATGGCTGAATTAAAAGTTATAACATACATAAAACATCTTTTCTTTTGAAAAAAATAGAAGAATAATAAAATATAGCAATAAATTATATAGAAATTTATACAAATTTATTTATAAAAAATACAGAGGAAGATTTAAACATTTAATCTGTAAAAGTTTTTGAAAAATATTGTACAGATATCATTTTATACAAAAATACTTATAATGAATTATAATTATTCTTAATTATACCTGATATAAGGAATTTCCTGTTATATAGCTGGCAATGTAATGCGAACCAAAGTTTTTGATAAAGCGAATAACACTCGCTGTATCACCTATTGTAACGTTGCCTGCTTCTCGTGCTACCGTCTCATCAAGCATGAGGGCATTGATGCCCCCGCCAATGGCTAACTTCTTAGACTCACGGAAGCGCGCTACTCGTACGAGGACATAGCACTGATCGCCAGTGATGAAGGATGAATTGATTCCAAGGTGTCTGGCTATTGCTGCGCGTGACCAGCTTCCAGTGAAAGCCCTCCACGGTTTTTCCAATCGTTCGAATGTAAAGTCTCGGAAATAGGCCTTGAGCGCATAAAGATTTAATAGTCAGGTTTAAATATGGGTAATAAATTCTCTTGTATAAATCCATAATTTCATAAAGAACAATGTTTCTATTGTTTGCAACTCTTTTCTTGGACTGAAGAGAAAAATGAAAATCGCTAACTTTACACAAAATATTAGAATAAAAATTACTTTATTTTAATTACTCAACAATTTGTTCAATGCACACATATATTTCACAAATAAAATTTATTTTGTGGTTTTTATAATTGTCTATAGACCTAGATAATAGAACAAATACCTGTAAAAGTTGCCGAACATTGTCACAGAATTCCATGTGAAAATCACCATCAAATATTACGGTAGTTTTGCTTTCTTTATTCGGTGCAGCTTGAGGATTGTGAAAGACGTCAAGGGTCGGTTCACGGAAGATCCACGTATCGCTATCATTACGCGGTACTACCCTCATACTAATACTGAGATATCCGTAACGACTGAATACATTTATGGCACCACCAAGTCTTGGCTTCTGTTGAAACGAGAACTGAAGCCTGGTTATGAAAGCCATAAGTATCAGAAGTATCCGTGTTCCCTTCCACATGTCTCACGGTCTTACTTGACCACCTTTCTGCCCTCCCTTTTTTACTCGCTACAAGAAAAAAGATAAAAAGACTTAAGACTTTCGCTTATTCCGATCTTATTTTCTAAAATCAAGATCTTATTATAACGTGAATTTAATAAAATCAAATCACATATTTAAAATTGATATTTGCATAACATATCATAAATAATTAATTCATAGGTAAAATATTGGAATTATAAATATATATATATATATATATTAAAGTTATAGAATTAAAAATTGTAATAAAAAAAACTTTTCAAAACTCACATACGCACACACGCGCGGGGACGCGCGCGCGCGCACACACACACACACACACACACATATATATATCCTAAATATAAAATTATTAAACATTAAATATATATATTTAATATATAATAATTTTTATATTGAAATTATTGCAAAAGTATTTTTACAGTATCATCAAATTTTTTAATTGAACTACATCAGCATATACTATATTTAAACTACACTAAAAATACTGAGTCATGACATTCAGATAATTAAATTTATAAAAAGTTTTTATTTTAAAGATATTTTATATTTGCCTTAACTTTTAATAAATGTTTTATATTAATTTATTTTTAGTGTTAGAATTCTATTTTGTTATTTTATTTATATAAAAGTAATTTTATTGTCCCAATCGAATTAAATTAAGTAAATAAGGATATCAGAAAGCAGAAAAGCAATAAACAATTACTGTAAAATACCTTTAAACATAAAATGCTTAATAAAATAAGCTTTACTACTTTTTATTTAATATAAAATTTAAAAAAAATCATAAATAAGATTAATTTACATGATTGATGTATATATTTATGTACATTTAATTATAAAAGTAAAAACGAAAAACTCCATATATCTACTTTAATATTATATAATAAATTTTTTAAATCGAAATATTTGTCATAGAAAAAATTCTAATTTTAAAAATATCAATATTTATTTAAAGACACAGATAATCTATTAATAACAGTATTTTTTAAATTATTAAAATTAAAATATTGTTCCAACTACTTATTTTACTTACATTTCCGTCATTTTTAATTCTTCTATTATTAAGTACATTATTCAGGTCATTTTTTATTGCAATAAGAATGACAGACGTTTTATCTATTAGTAAAATTTATACATATAAATGAATTGAAGATTTTCAAATTTTAAATTAAACAGTTAATTAATTGAAAAATTTATTTTATGACTTATTATAATAAAAATAGTTTTTATTGTCGAGAAAAAACATATATTCATTTATAACATTAATAACATTTATTTTAAATTTTACAACTAACAAAAGAACGGTTTTAATGTATAAATATAAAGGTAATATTTTATCTATATTATATAACAAACATTGTCAAATATATAAAAGTTCATAAATAATAATAATTCGAATACATGTTCATATAATTGATTAGTATGTTGTTGAAAAAAGAAATTTATTTAAAAATTTTTTAATAATTTAAAAAAAGTATATTAAATTTCTTAGTTTACGTATGCAAATTTATTATGAAATATGCAGTATTAAATTAACCATATAAAAAACGTTCAATTACCTCCTCATAATTCGAGAAATAAATGTTATAACCAAAATATTTTCCTTTCTTTTAATTATTTGCTAATCATTTAATATCAATATTATTCCTTTGATAATTTTAGTATTATTTACGATTAATATTACCTCATGTGCTAATTTTAAAAGAAGATAATTTAATTGTAATTTTGCGTGACATATGAATTAAAATAATCCTATTATGCTTCTCTCATTACTTTTTTAATATAGTTTTATTAATTTATTCCAGATTTGCAAAGATTGATTTTAGAATTTCTTTTTTATATTTCATCGATTTTAAGTTTATGCATCTAAGTTTAATTTTCTTCTTAAATAATTATTTATATGATATTATAGATTTGATTGGTAAATACAAATGAAATAAAATATGTTAATTTAATTTATATTTAATGGTCACAGACAATAAAAAGCATGGATAATTAAAATTGTCACTCATTGTGGCTAAATATGTCATTTGAACACCCATATCAATAAATATATTATTAAAAAGAAGAGAAATATTATGAATACTTATACTAATATTATTATATTTAAACTAGGATTGAAAATTAGTATTATATTATATAAAATATACAATAAAATGTTTTTATTTATATTATTTCAATGATTTCTTGTAAAAATTGAAAATATTATATACACTAAATAAAATACCTGATTAATATCATACTTAAAAAAACAAATGTTTTAAGAAAGTTATTATTTCTTTTTTTTAGATCTATATGTAAGCGTGTTATTTCAAATTTTTAAGTGAATTAGGCAAAGAATAAAAATACTTAAATATTAAGAAAATAATAGGTATAAAAGATCATGGCGTGTGCCAATTTCTTATTTAATATAAAGTAAGAGGTATTTCGTTCATTGATTACATTTTTTCATTTTCAATTCTTTATAGCTTTCTACATTTTACTTTTCAATAGTAAGGTGATATTAAAAGGCAATCCATAATCTAGGAGTTAAAGTTGGATTTTATATGCAGTTATGGTGAATTAATTATGTGGATTTACATATATATATATATATATATATATATATATATATAGATGGATAGAATTAAATTTCTAGTATTGACATTGCATGATTTTATAGCAGGACGATTATTAAATAGTAGCCTATATCTCCAATTCGTATCAACTTTATTGATTTAAAGATAAAATAATAACCTTATATGCATAGAATTCTATTTATTTGATACTTATACATATAAATTAATAAAGCGCGCAAATACTAAAGAATATTTTTAATTTCAATGAACAAACTGTAATAACCTTGTTTGAGAATAAGGAGCTTTAAGCAAATTCTATACATAGTTTTACTATTCCATTCAGATTATCTTATTATGGTATTTAAAAATTGAATTCTCTTAAAATGTTGCAGTTCTTTATTATATACTGAATTTTATAAATAAAGTTTTTTACCAAATATCATAACATTTATAACACAAATACGCTCTACAATAACGAAAAGAATAATATAATCAATGAAACACGGTTAGATGAACGTTGACAACTTTTCAATATATTTGATAAATTGATAATTTAAAAAGAGTAGTTGAAAAAAATATTGTATTTTATTTTTAAATGTTTATTGTCGACTACAATTTTATAATTAGATTAGTTAAACATCGTTTAACTATTTGTAATTGCAAGATGTATAAACAATATATTTCAAATCTGTAAATATACAAAAACTTGTATGAACTCTATATTTTAATGAATAAATACACAAAGATAATTGCAAAAATTTTTTTAAATAAATTAGAAGTATACAGTGAACTTAATAAAAAAAATTAACAAAAACACATTAAAGCCATGTATTTCTAAAACATGTAATTATTTGTGACTAATACATAATTAATTAAAAATATTTGAATTGTAAATGTTTGTATTTAATAATGGATTTTCTGATATAGTATCTTGAATTTTATAATATTAATATCCCTTAAAATAATTTAATGATTAGATGATATCTACATGTATTATATTACTTGGGAATTCATACAATATTTTGAAGTAATAAATAATAATTTTTTTTTATATTATATCATCACAACAATTTATTGTATACCACCATTATTAATATTTTAAATAAGGTGTTAATTGAATTTATAATCAGGAACAATTATCAAAATGAACTTTATATGAAATTTAAAAAATTATACAGTAGAAAATTTTACAATAGAATACTACAATGTGCGCATATGTAATGTGTCATTATTGATTAACTAGGGATGAATTACATAAATCATTAAATGACTCGTATATATCGTATTTATTTTTAAGTTTTTACAGAAAAGTATCTATTTACATATCTATATATACATATCTATCAATTTATATATATATATATATATATATATATATACAAACTATATGCATATTATTTGTCCGGAATTGTTTTATAATTAGACTCAGATTTATTTAGATTTTTAACGAGAATTCACCTATTCAAAACTGTATTGAAGTATATTATACGAAATTTAAAAATCTAAAAAAAATTAATTATAAATCATTTACAAGTAATTATAAGAAAAAATTATTTACATGATATATTAGATGAACTTCCATATTTATTTTAATATTTGAAATTTTAAATTATTGTATAATTTATATTTTATATATATTATATATATATATTGTATAATTTAGAACTCAATTTTGTTATTAAGAAAATTATTAAATTTAACATTATCAATATGAAAGTTTATCTGAATATATATCACTCACATAGATTTTTCTCATAACTACTATTGTAAACGATTTCCAATTATTTAATCTTTGTCATCCATAATTTTTATCATTTTTTTTTATTATAATTAAACGCATATTTTTTTGTATTTTTTATATTAATTCATATAAATTTCTTTATATATTTTTTGAAACTCGAAGATTATTAATAAACTTGGGTGCTATATTACTATATTTATGCTTGGTCGTCATGCAGTTAAATGCTATATGAACAGTCATCAGTTTTCATTTGAAGGAATTGTATTGCAATATTTTGTTAACTAACTATTCTTATAATCAATTTAATACCTCATGCCTGTTACATTTATACTTCTATATCTATAGTTTATATAATCAAAATAAAGCGTGAGCTTAAGAAGAAAATGTGAAACGGAATAGGCTTTTATAAAAAAAAAAAAACAAAAATATATCCTTGTAAAGTAATTTACAAGAAAAATAATCCGAAAAAATATTTAAATAAGTAAATGTCTTACTAAGATCAATTATTGAAGTATCTAAAGTTTAAAGAAAAAATAATGGAGATTATTTACACTATTAAAATTAATGATAAAATTAATGATAAAACAATAACAACATTTTTTATAATTGTATGTAAATTTTAAGTTTTATAAGTTTATTGATTTATAAATTATCATACTTACATGAAAATATCTACAACTATATAGATTACAAATTAAGTATATAATCAAACTAATTTATGAACT